AAAACGAGCCCAGAGATGCCCCAGCCCTGTGAGAAACTCGTTAATTTGGATGATTTCACAGCTAATTAACGTGATTAATTCTCTGCCCGCAGATCGCCGTGGTGGCCGTGATGTGCAAACCCCACCGGTGCCCCCACATCAACTTCACGGGAAACATCTGTGTGTGAGTTTGGGGTGGCCCAGATGTGCCAGATGTGGCCCCCAGGAAGGGCTGGGGAAGGAGGAAAAGAAGAGAAAATGAGGCTGGAATTCCCTAGACCAGGGAATAAAGGGACAGGATAAAAGGGAACGACCTCGAGCTGCACCAGGGGCAGCTTCAGGTTGGATTTTTGGGAGCAATTCCTGCCTGGAAAAGGTTTTAAAATCCCTGAAGGGGTTAAAAAAATCCTTGTGGATGTGGCACTTGGGGACACAAAGAAGTTCTGGGAATGATTGGGTTGGATGCTCATGGAGATTTTTTTTCCCATCCTTTCTGGGATTCCATGAGTCAAAATTTAATTTTTCCAACGTTCCTGTATAAACCCAGCTTTGCAGAAGCAGCCACCAAAAAAAAATTCTTTTTTTTTTCCCACTTTTTCCTCAAGGGAGAAAAGCTCCTTTCGTGTCCCAAACTCACCATTCCACATCAAATTCCCACCTTGGTGATTATTAATTGATTATTAATTTCTTAAGGATGGAAGGGAATTCTCCAGCTGCCAAAATCTGGAATTAGCTGAGTTTTATTTTATTGATTTATTTATATAAATTAAAGAACACAAACTTGGCTTTACCTTGAATTCTTTTCTTCATTTCACTCTTTGAAATCTGCTCTTGGTTTTGCTTTTCTCATCTCTTCATTTATTTCCAAACATTCCCTGCAGTCAATCCCTGGATTTCACTCTTGTTTTATTTTCCTTCTCCTTTCATGACCCAAACTCACCATTCCATATCAAATTCCCACCTTGGTGATTATTAATTTATTATTAATTTATTATTAATTTCTTAATGATCAGGTGGGATTTGTGTCCCTGATCAGATGGAGGGGAAGCCTCCAGCTGCCAAAATCTGGAATTAGCTGAGTTTTAATCTATTATTTTATTTATTTATATAAATTAAAGAACACATTCTTTGAAATCTGCTTTTGCTTTTCCCATCTCTTCATTTATTTCCAAACCTTCCCTGCCATCAATCCCTGAATTTCACTTTTTTAAATTTTTTTTTTTAAAGCTCCTCTGAGCTGTTCCAGATAATTCCATTCCTTGGATTGCACAGCAAATGAATGTGGGCACGATGATCCAATTAATTAATTAATTAATTTAGAATTCATTTTTATCAAGGATGGCAGGTGACTGGAAGTGAGAGCTGGCAGTGAGGAAATAAATTAATTATCCTTGGGATGCAAATGAGGCTGCTTTGGTGGGATCTGCTCCATCAGGAAAATTCCCCTGGAATTTTCTCCCATTACTCCATGCCCAAAAAAAAAAAAAAAAAAATTAATATTCTGTATCACATAAAGTGAGAGAATCATGAAAAACACTCAAATAGTGAATTTATTTTTTTTTTTTAAATCAATTAATCTGTGTGTAACTCTTGCTCCCTAAAATAATTCAATATCCCAGAAATAATTTTCATGGATTTTGTTTCCAGAAAGTCTTGCTGGGTTTTTTTTTGAGGTGGATGCAGGGATTTGAGCTGGTTTTAAAAATCCCATTCTCATTAAAATGAATTAAAATTCCTCATTGTTTGTAAACACAGGCTCAGCTCCCTCCAGCATTTTATTATTTATAACAATAAAATATTTATATAATTTTTATAATTCATATAATTCGAATAATCTATTATTATGTACTATATACTTAGACAATTATTATATATTTTACAGAATTATTTTCTATTATTCAGAATTTTATCATTACATTGTATAATTCCAGAAATTGATGGAATTTTGAGAGTTTAATTCCTGATTTCTCTTTTTTTTTTTTTTTTTTTTTTTTCCACCTTGCAGGTACTGCCCAGGGGGCCCTGACTCTGATTTTGAATATTCCACCCAATCCTACACAGGATATGA